TGAATTTTCGGACTCTATTATTTAATATTATTTATCAAAAAATTAATTTAAATAAATAATAGATCTTGCCAAAATTAAATATATTAAACATATTAAAAGTGTTTACAACCTAAATTGATTGGATTCAGGGCATATCACTTACATGAATGATTTTCCTTATTTATGAATAAGCAAATTTACTTTTTGTGAACAACATCTTTGAATAACATTTTTCCTTTATTTTAATTCAAAAGTATTTTTTTTAAAGTAACTCGTGTATTACTGTTGAAATAAGTAACTTAATTTTCATTTTAGTGAACTTCGCAATATTACAAGAACTAATCGATTCCTTCATAAGTAGCAATGAATAAAGGGAAGGGAAGAGGAAACGGAAAATCAGTTTTTAATCTAAAATACGTAGAGTGGCTGAAGTACAAACAGTTTGTCTTATCTCACCTAAAGGCAAGGTTATCATGAGTACAAATGCACATGTTCTCTAGGAGTAGCTGCTTTGAACCAAATAAGCCGTGCCTAATGAACCTTGCGGAGTTTATTCCTAATAAATTCCCTGGCAGTTTTATTTTTATTTTTTTGGTGGAGAACTTTCCACAACAGATGGCAACCCAAATAATTCAGCCATAAAGTTCATCCCATATTTCTTGAAGAGTCTGCAACATAGAGAGAATAAAGTATACTTGTCACCCCTCTTGTCACTTAAAATTAAAGAAGAGATGCATGCTTTGGAATTCAAATTTTGGGGGACTGATGATGGAATCGAATAGCAAATGTAATTGATCGAGCAACCATCTCATTCCTTCAATTATGTCTTCGCTTCACTTCAGAATGCTATTTATCAATAAAAATAAGTAAAACTACCTTTACAAACTTATGTGCTTATAAGTAAACTTCTATATTTTAATTTAACTATTTTTATCTATTATGTGATATGGCCAACCAATAATCCGAGAGAAAGGATTTCATAAAGCATATTATTTTCACAAAAATCATATGTACAGAAATGCTATTACTAGAATTCGTACAAATTCTCACAAGGGGGTGGACCCCATGCGGAATTGTGGATAAATTATTGTCAAAAATAATCACCCACCCTACAACTGTGAGTGTTTTGTAGGATTTCTGCATGTGTTTTTTCTATACATTTAGTGTGTTTGTATTATTTTAGTGAGGGCGAATCCGAGGCGGGCAAATTAGTTTTTTATTTTTATTTTTTTGGTGGAGAACTTTCCACAACAGATGGCAACCCAAATAATTCAGCCATTAAGTTCATCCCATATTTCTTGAAGAGTCTGTGACATAGAGAGAATAACGTATACCTGTCACCCCTCTTGAAACTTAAAATTAAAGAAGAGATGCATACTTTGGAATTCAAATTTTGGGGGACCGATGATGGAATCGAATAGCAAATGTAATTGATCCAGCAACCATCTCATTCCTTCAATTATGTATTCGCTTCACTTCAGAATGCTATTTATCAATAAAAATAAGTAAAACTACCTTTACAAACTTATGTGCTTATAAGTAAACTTCTATATTTTAATTTAACTATTTTTATCTATTATGTGATATGGCCAACCAATAATCCGAGAGAAAGGATTTCATAAAGCATAATATTTTCACAAAAATCATATATACAGAAATGCTATTACTAGAATTCATACAAATTCTCACATGGGGGTGGACCTGGCACCCCCATGTGGATAAATTATTGCACAAAAAAAAAAAAAAAGGGAATAAACCACCCACCCTACAACTGTGAGTGTTCTGTAGGATTTCTGTATGTGTTTTTTCTATACATTTAGTGTTTGTATTATTTTAGTGAGGGCGAATTCGAGGCAGGCAAATTAGTTTTTTATTTTATTTTATGTAGATCGGTTACCTAAGGAAGGATAGGTTTAGTAGATTAATTTAGCTTGGGATTTATTTGCACCAAATACCGAATAAAATTAGTTTAATCTATATTTAATCTAACATGATATGTCAAACATGCCCATATGATAATTTATTACTATTATACACCGACCTCGATACAAAAGACTAAAACCAACAAAATTTCCTCGTAAGGCAATCCTACATATACAATCATAGGTAAAGTAAAATTCCACAATGCTTGATACAAGATAATAATCATATTAAAATATATATATTGACTTTGAACTCCTCTAAATAAAGTTCACATTTTAAGATGAAAATCATATCTAAAAGTGATATAAAAAAAAGTTCAAACAAATAATTCAATTCATTCTAGGCTCAAACGAGCTGTCCGTATCTAATATTAGGGCTTGATTGATTTGAGGAAATTTTCATGGAAAATGGGGGGGGGGGGGGGGGGGGGGAACTTTATTTTTTTTTATGTGGATTGGTTACCTAAGGAAGGGTAGGTTTAGTAGATTAATTTAGCTTGGGATTTATTTGCACCAAATACCGAATAAAATTAGTTTAATCTATATTTAATCTAGCATGATATGCCAAACATGCCCATATGATAATATATTACTACTATACACCTACCTCGATACAAAAGACTAAAACCAACAAAATTTCCTCGTAAGGCAATCCTACATATACAAACATACGTAAAGTAAAATTCCACAATGCTTGATACAAGATAATAATCATATTAAAATATATATTGACTTTGAACTCCTCTAAATAAAGTTCACATTTTAAGATGAAAATCATATTTAAAAGTGATATAAAAAAAAGTTCAAACAAATAATTCAATTCATTCTAAGCTCAAACGAGCTTTCCATATCTAATATTGGGGCTTGATTGATTTGAGGAAATTTTCATGGAAAATGGGGGGAAAAATAATAATTTTTTGACCTTTTTCCTAGTTTGATTACAAGTATTTTCTTGGCAATTGATTTTCCATCTCCCCATGTGATCCCTCTTTCCTTGGTTTTGTAGAATTTCAATTTCCATGGATTTGGTGGGAAATTAGTTTTCCATTAAAAAATTCAAAATTTCAACATTTTTCAAGTGAAAAATTATATCAATCAAATACATTTAAGGCCTGCTTGTAGGGGTGGGAATTCCATGGAAAATGGAATTTAAATTCCATTTCCCACTTTGCCATGTTTGATTCCTATTTTTTTTCTTTTTTTTTTTTTCCCATGGAATTGGTTTTCCACCCACCTATGCCCCATCAGCATTTTCCTTGTTTTCCTTAAATTTTAATTCCCACTGTCTAGGCTATTCGGCGATTTTATTTATTTATTTATTTATCTTTATTTTTTGTGTAATGGAAACAAATCTTATCTCTAATTATAAAAAAATATTTTTCTTTAATTGACAATTCTTAGTAAAACAAGTTCTAGACAATTCAATTCACTGAAATTCATTTTCTTTCTATCCAAATTTCATTGTTGCAATCAAACGGATCCTTAATATTGTTAAATGAATCACCTTGTTGTAGGATGTGTTAAGAATAAAGTTTTCTATCATTCAAATATAAAAAATAACAATCAATGAACTCCAAAATTCAATAGTCATCACATGCTATGTCTAAAATTTATACCAATTGTCACTCCATGACAGTGAAACCAAGTCAATCATTTTAGGAGTGTGGGGGTATATAACGGTGTCCCCCCTCACATGTGCCGGGTAATTTAAGTGGGCCCGACACATGTCAGGGGGAGACACCATTATGTACCACAAGGGTTTTTCATCATTTTAAATAGTCGTCTTCTAACGTCGATTCAATTTTGTTTTGTTTTTTGTTTTTTGTTTTTTTCGTTTTTGTTTTTGCTTCCTTTGGAAAATAAGAAATTTCTAAAGACAAAGTAGGAGACTTGATGAGTCAACAGTCTTCAACCCTCCTTTTTCTAAACGAAAGCTGTCTAATTTGGACCATCATCGGAGGAAATTTCTCCAAAAATTTAATCAGTTTGTAGTTGTAATTGGATGCTGACACAATTAATAACAATAATTTTTGATTTGGACTAATCTTAGCTTTGAACTGATTCAATTGCTCCTTTTAACTTTTCCTTCATTTTTTAGTTTTTATTTATTTATTTATTTTTTGGCACTCTGGTACATCATTGAAGTTTATTATTTAAAGTTCAAAGCCTATACATATCAATTATTATTTTTCATATTTAAACAATTGAGATTTTACTTTAAATAATGATAGTATCTCTTGGATGGCCTTAGAGTACACTTGTCGATGCAGTCTTTTGTACATCAAAAAAGCCACAAGGCCAGGGTCAAAATCAGGCAAAAAAACGGGGCGCCATGTCCATTGGCCAAAAAGCAGGGTTGTTTGTACATAGATGTGATTTATGATTCTACTTTCACTAAAAGTAAAAATCCTACACAAATGATCAAATCCTACAGTTTCATAACTTTTCATTCACGCACACTCAATAAGGGTTTTCTCCGGTTTTGAGTCCCATACTCCTCAGTCCTCCTCTTTCAAGCAGAAGCAATTGCGTGATAGTCGAAAATTCAATTATTATTGTAGGGGACGGCATTCGGGGTTGTAAATTGTTGTATACAATCGATTTACGCACTAATGAAAATATTTATATTGGAACTCTTTTTCTATTATTTCTTTATGCCATATAAATGGGTTACACCGACGGAGCTCTTGCCTTTTCATCTCATCCAATGCTCAAAGCCTTTGACCTCATCATCGTGAGTAGCTCAATGTGTAAGTTAAAAGCTGCCAATTTTGAGGCCTTCTTTAGGAAAGCGGGATAAGGTCGTACTAAGCCAAGACACCCGATACATATGCAAATCTTAATATCGTTAGATACCACGGGAATGCAATAGATACATGTGTTACACAAGACGATCTAAAATTGCTCGATTTAAAAAGTAACCAACCAACACGATAACGTCAAGTGCATATTGACAAAAAGGATTTAGAAAAATAAAAATATCATCCAATTTTTTGACAAAAGTCTTCTCAAAGGATGTACAGTATAGGCGTTCCCGCGTGGATGACCAAGTTTTCTTTCTAGATGAGAGAGACAGTAAATACAAAATAACGAAGGGAAATCACTTATAAATAGCTGTATTTTGAAACCCCCGTAAATATTCACAATAGTTCTTGCTGATTAGCAAATATGGATTTCAATTTCATGTTCATTCTCTGTTTCATTTTCATACTAAGTTTTCATCTTCTTGAAACATTTGCAAATAAAACCCCAGAAAAAAACAAATTAGAAACATACATTGTTCAAGTTGTGGCACCTGATACACAAATTTTCACTCAATCAGAAGATCTGAGAAGTTGGTACGATTCATTTTTGCCAACGACTACAGCATCTGTAAGGGAAAATCCGCGCATGATTTTTCCATATACCAATGTACTGAAAGGTTTTGCTGCAAGATTATCTGCTGATGAAGTAAAGGAGATGGAAAAAAAGGCGGGATTCGTGTCTGCTCAGCCCGATAAAGTGTTGCCTCTGCATACAACTCATTCTCCCAAATTCTTGGGGTTAAACCAAAACCCGGGTTTTTGGAAAGATTCAAACTATGGTAAAGGTGTGATCATTGGAGTTATAGATTCCGGAATAGTCCCGGATCATCCATCATTCAATGATGAGGGAGTGCCACCTCCACCGGCTAAATGGAAAGGCAAATGTCAATTCAACGTTTCGGCGTGTAACAACAAACTCATTGGAGCAAGGTTTTTCTTGAGAGGAGATGACACGCCACTAGACATGGATGGCCATGGGACCCACACGGCAAGCACGGCTGCTGGAAACTTCGTAAAAGGGGCGAATGTGTATGGCAATGCTAATGGCACTGCAGCTGGGATTGCCCCACTTGCTCATTTGGCTATTTACAAAGCATGTTCCTTATATTGTTCTGAGAGTGCCGTGTTGGCAGCAATGGATACGGCCATTGATGATGGTGTAGATGTTCTTTCCATTTCTCTCGGAAGACTTACCAACGATTTGTATTCGGACAACATTGTAGTTGGTGCATTTAGTGCAATGGAAAAGGGGATTTTTGTTAGCTGCTCAGCGGGAAACGGTGGCCCATATAATCTCTCTATAGCCCACGAGGCCCCATGGGTTCTCTCTGTCGGTGCTAGCACTATAGACCGAAAGATCAGGGCAACTGCGGTGCTCGGAAATAATAAATCGCACGACGGAGAATCAGCTTTTCAGCCTTTGGATTTTAAATCAGATTTCTTACCTCTTGTTTATGCCGGGATGTTGAATTTGAGTGATCAATATGCACCATATTGTCTCCCAGAAATTTTGAACAAAACCGATATCATCAGAGGGAAGATTGTGGTGTGTGAATTGAGTGAAATTGAAGCAATTGAAATAGGACAAGCGGTAAAGGATTCTGGTGGTGCTGCCATGATTCTCTTGAACAATGAGCGATATGGAAATACTACTATTGCTGAAGCTCATGTCCTTCCAGCGACACGAATCAGTTATGTCGATGGACTAAAAGTCAAAGCTTACATAAACTCGACGTCAAATCCTGTAGCTAAGATTTTGTTCAAAGGAACCTTGATTGGTGATGATCGTGCCCCGGTGGTGGCTGCATTTTCTTCCAGGGGGCCCAACTTCGCCAGCCCCGGAATTCTAAAGCCTGACATTTTAGGTCCAGGTGTAAACATCCTCGCAGCATGGCCCGTCTCTGTGGAAAACAATACCAACACAAAATCTACATTTAACATGTTATCAGGTACCTCAATGTCTTGTCCTCATCTCAGCGGTGTCGTGGCTTTGCTGAAAAGCTCGCACCCTAGTTGGTCTCCAGCCGCCATTAAGTCGGCAATCATGACTACTGCTGACATTGTAAACCTAGCTAGGCGGCCAATTGAAGACGAAAAATTCCTACCTGCCGACATTTTCACCACTGGTTCTGGCCATGTCAACCCGTCAAAGGCCAATGATCCGGGCCTTGTTTACGACATCCGAGCCGAAGAATACATACCATATTTGTGTGGTTTGAATTACACAAACAGACAAGTTGGGACCTTCCTGCAGCGTAGGGTGAATTGCTCGGACGTATCAAGTATACCAGATGGGCAATTAAACTATCCAGCATTTGTTATTATTTTTACAGTTCTATCGAATACTCAAAACTATAGTAGGACAGTAACAAATGTCGGTGAATCTAATTCCTCTTACACCGTCAAAATTTTTCGCCCACTTGGCGTTGATGTGCGCGTTGAGCCCACAACACTGAATTTCTCGGAGCTGAACCAGAAGATGGTATATCGAGTGACATTCAATCGATTGGCTTCTGCCGGAAACAATACTGTTGTTCAAGGTTCTCTGATATGGAATTCAGACAAGCATGCTGTGAGAAGTCCAATAGCAGTTATATTGTCCTAAGATATGTGTTGAGACTATAAATCTGGAATTCTTAATAGACGCCCTGGAATAAGTAAATGCAGTTTCTTTCTCAATTTGAAGTGCTTCCTTGAAATTTACTGTAATGAAGTGGATTTATCATTGCAATATAAGATGCAGATCTAAAAATCTCTAGTCAAAACTTCTGTTATATAACAATCCAATACTCTTGTTTTTTAATTATGAAATGCACATAAATTGTTAATCCAGCAATCCAATACTATTTGCAGTCACTCATTGTCGCAGTCGCCCTACGTGACATGCATGTGGCTGTTAGTGATTTGATATACGAGGTAAGAAAAAGCTATCACATTAATACATTAAATCACAAAACGCCATGTAGGATATCGCGTAGGACAACTATCGTAGTGAACGACTATGAATACCATTACTCTTTTTTTAATCTTATTTTCATTTAGTAAGGCCCAAATTTTCGAATATTACGAATATCCAACAAATGTGAATAGTTAATAGGCTTGTTTTCCAATGAAGATATTTAGAATAGTTGTTGTATGTTAGAAACTGAAATATTTATCCACTTGTGAAGTCAATATGCTCATTCATTCTTCCTTTTAGCGTACTGTAACTGGAGCAAGTGTCAGTATCTACACTATAACTAACAAAATTTTAGTTTCGTTTTCTTCTTTTATTAGGGTTTAGTATTATCTTCTAAACCACTTTTAAACACAATCTAACGTGCTCTTAGATTGTGGCCCATTGAGTTTCTAAACAAAACAAAGTTTTTGAACAATTTTTAGTAAGTGTTGTCGGGATAAGTGTTCCGATGATGCTATGACATGACTTCAATTTATAACGGAATACATGAGATCCAACAAATCCTCATTAGCTAATAACGACACAGCTAACCCATTGCCGACATATTGCTGTTTCTTATTAGCAAAAGTTAACATAAACTATTCTTTGCAAAATTTAAATAATGTCGTTGACAATACTAAAGAGATACAAAATTTAACAAGATACTGAATTTGTTATACCAATATTTCGTGAGGTACCGGTGGTAAAATTGCGACTCGACAACGATGATTAAACATTTATGCGTACTACTTGGGGGAAGTCGGGACCGACGAAGACACCTTAAGCAGTCCAATATAAAAACAGCAAGCTTTTCCTGAAATATACTTGCTTACCTGAATTCATTGCAGCAAATCACTTGGTAGTTAGTACAAGCATTGTATCTTTGCCTTGTGCATTCCAAGCCAATATATCCTAAGACATGACAAGAACAATGATTTTTCTATGGAACGAATCCATGGATGACATAATAAAATAAGACTTCTGTGACATGTACGGTAAGTAACATTGAACAACATTGTCCATGTTTGGTAGAAATTAAAATCAAGATTTTAATCTAAATCAAAGTCAAAAAATAATTTTAACCACGCATTTCATAGTATCCACAACTTTTCAATTATAATTTTATCAACTTTTATCAAAATCTACTAAAGAAATGCATCCAATTTTATACAGAATTTTGATGACAAGATGATTTCTCAGATTACATCATAAACTTATCCCCGAACCTTCCTTCATAGTTGATGCAAAAATCCCATTCCGACTTTTGGAATAAAAAATTGATCCGGCCTCATATCAGGAACGTTCACCCACATACCATCAGGTAGGCAATGGGCTTCTATTCAACTACGGAAACTGGAGCTGCATGTTGACTCCTCAACCAAATCCTGGAGGTACATCAGGATCTTCATCGTTAGGATAACCTGACTGCTTATGCTCCAGAATAGAAGAAAATCCAGGTGGAGGACCAGACTCCAAATTGCCGGGCTCCGATTTAGCCGGTGAGCAAGAGTTTCCTTCTTTTACTTCTTTTATTTCTTTTCCTTTATGAATCGTTGGAATCCCCAGCTTATCATTTGGTTTCTGCACATTGTCGATCTTCTTACTCTGATCTTGATCACTTAACGAAAACCCTGGTGGTTCATTTTGCTCACCATTGGTCACTGTAGCATCAATATCATTGATTGAAACAATAGCATGCACATTATTCTCAAGTGTCTTACCAACAGGCTGCAAATCAACGTGAGAAGATGTCTCCCAATGGTCATTTCCTCCTGGGTTTGATAATTTATTGTAAACTGATTGCACTGTTTCAACTATCTCTGTTTTCATGCCATGCCCAGATCTAATTATGTTCCAGACACCATCGGAAATTTGGCTCATGACTTTTTCCCTAGAATAGAGAAATACAATGAAATAAAACTCTACATATAACCGAATCCCTGCTAACTCGCATAATAAATCAGAAACTTCAATGTTACCATGCTCTTTCCAACAAAAAATACTCATGAAATTTTATAATTACTATAAAAACTTTTATCAGAAATCTAAAGGCTGAGTAGAGAAAAGATAGCTTATTTCCTTTTTAAGTCCATTAATTAGAGAACAACCTTACCCAATCTCTTTATGTATGGCATCAGAAAGTTGCCGTGGTTTCATATTTTCGGCACCTGGATGGTTAAGTGCCGCTGATTTCTTTACCATTGATATGATATTGTTTCGCAACTCTTCCTGGAAAAATCATGTTCAGAAAATCTGAATGGTAAGTACAGAATGAAGAATCAAACAAGAGAGAGAGGAAACCGGTAAAAGGAAAGAAGAAAAAAATTATAGCTCATCCTGCAAAATTCACCAAGTTCAGAGGGGGAAGAAGAATTGAAGAGAGAAGAAAAAGGGGGTTTTATATTATCAATATCAATATATCCATGCTCTAACATAATCAAATCGCATATCATAATTGAGTAAGAAGTAAGAACAAAGATGACCTAGAACATACAAATAAATCATTGAACATGCTCCAAAGGACAAAAGAAAGTATAAGCAAAACTGTCTAAAGCTGCCCTCTGAATTTCTTCTTGCTTGAGCAATAAATCATGAAAATCATAGTTTAAAACAAACAAACTCTATATTCCCAGTCATGCAAGACAATATACAGTCTACTCAAATACCTAAAATCAAGAACCTACGAAAATAAGATAGAAAAACCAGTGTAGTACAAAATTAAGTATTTTATAGTCCCAGAACAGGTCCCCAATAACGGGCTTTTGGTTCACAGTTATGGCTTCTCTTTTTTCCTATTCATTTTTACTCTTTAATGAATTCTTCAACAAAAAGACTGCAGAAGAAGTTTTTTCCAGTGGTATACAAAAGTTTCATTAAAAAAATAAAATAAAATAAAATAAATCATTAACCCTTCCCCAGCATTATAATTTACATTTATAACTTGGCCATAATTATTTGAATATAATATATATAACCATCTGGTAAAAATATGAAAGGTTCTCTCTCTCTATGGGAATATCGTTGTAATAGTTGTGCAATGACATGTAGTCAAATTATAGCTTCCAAATGTAACTAAAACCAGCTGTTAAAAAAATAACTCTGATTGGATAGTGATACACATTATTGTTATCAATATTATTGAAAAAGCAAAAATAAAAAATTGTTTAAGAGATGATTTTCATATACATGTGACCGATAACCATGCATGAAACTCCCAGATTGAATAGATGGGTATTGCTTTCAATGATAACGCCTTCGTTGCTATTAAAAAGGAAGAAACTTACAGTCCTTGACATGCACAGTCAACCTGCTGAAATTTGAGAATAAATATATACAAATCTTTTCATGTCTTTGAGGGGGGTAGAATCTTCAAGTTAAAAAGAATCTGGATGGCATAAATATATACAAATCTTTTCATGTCTTTGAGGGGGTAGAATCTTCAAGTTAAAAAGAATCTGGATGGCAGCCGTCACAAGCATAAGTCATTATAATGGCAAATATTTACAAAGTTTCCTGTATTACGTCTTATGCCAAAGAGGTTGACTTATATAGATAGTGAACTTATTTAATCAACCAAAGATGGTCATTTTCTGATTCATTTCCTTCCGATGGTGATTCCTTTTTTTTTTTTATTATTGTTATTGTTATTGTTATTGTTATTGTTATTGTTATTGTTATTGTTTTTTTCCCCTTTTCTAGTAGTTCCTCTCTGATTGGCTACACGATTGAATATTGACGCATGAAAAAGCAAATATTTGTATACATCAGAATCTAAAATTTCCCTATTGTCAGGAGAAAAATTCTGCAACTCAACAAAGCGATTCCTCCATTAGTAGTCACATTTTCATTGCTATCAATGCCATTAAAATACAAACAAAATGCAAATATCATTTAATTTTGTATAGAAGCCAGATATAGCAATATGGATAGCGAGTAGATTGGAACAAACAACAGCTATGAATTACCACTGAAGAATAGAATATCTTTTGAATGAAAAAATTCTCAGTGACAAAACACAAGCCGCCAAGTTTAAATCCAAGTGCATCTAGTCAAACATCTAGCTTTTAAAGCCTATTGAAGTCAAAATCCATCAAAAGGATAAGAGAAAAATGAAGAAAGGAAAGATTTTCGTTTCTTTATTCAACCCAAGGTCCCAAACAATACAAGAACAAACAAACCACAGTAATGAAATCTTAGGTAGTGTTTGATTGGAGGTGGAATTCCATGGAAAATGGAATTGGAATTCCACCTTCCAATTTAACCTTGTTTGGTAGCCATTTTTTCCCCTAGAATTGAATTTCCATCTTTGATGCCACATAAGTCAATTTCCATGAATTCAAGGACAAGTTCTCACCAAAATGGTGAGAATTGGAATTCCCGGTTTCTGTAGCATTTTTTATTTTTTTCGATTTTCTTTTTTAAATTTTTTTGGCAATGGAAACAAATTCTAAGAATTATTGTAAAAAAATATTTTCCTTTAATTGACAATTTCCATGTAAAATAAAGTCAAACGAATATCAAAAGATAGATTTTTTTTTTTTATTATTTTTTATTTTTTTTGGAAATGAGAACAAATTTCATCCCCAACACCAGTAAATTCTATCCCTTTAATTGACAAACACTTTTATTTCAACATTTTCCACGTGGAAAATTATACCATTCAAACACAATAATTTACAATTCTCAGGAAAATAATTTCTAGGCAATTCAATTCTCTAGAATTCGTTTTCTAAGTAATTCAATTCCATTTTTGCAATCAAACGGACCCTTAGAGAAAGCAATGTAGTTGATAACTACTAGCCATAGAATTCTTCCCACAGTTTCTACTCTCCTCTCCATCTGGGCTTTGCAGTCATATGTTGCAAAATGATGAGGCATACAAAAGAAAAGAGTAAAGGACCACATGATTTCATCCCTTCCCCATGTGCAAAGTCATTGTGTAACACTACAGTTAGGAGGATGAATTTGTGAGATAAGTCACATCTATTCCCCAAATATTCCTTGCTTCTGTCCACTGTTGTTATCCAACTCAACACTGTCGACAAGAAAAATAAAAATTCTGAAAATCTTTCCTAGAAGTAAAATCCATACCCATATTCTTTTTATGCCATAACTTATGGTATGGCAGAAGAGAGACGTGGGAGTGTTTTAGGAGTGAAGAGCAGATACAAAGGTCCAGCAAGCATTGCTTATTGCTATGTGAAATAAGATGCCATTATAGAGAGTCCCTGAGCATACAACCCTGACATACTTGCTAAGTGCTATCAGACATGAATGACAGCTTTAGCCTCAAAACAATTTTAGTAGTTTACAAGAACTACACGTGAAGTATAGCTGTTTCCTTCCTATGCAAGAAAGTAGAAACTATCAATGCCCTGTGAGATAAGATGCCAACCTTGTAAGTTGTAAGAGTCCCTAACGGTGCACCCGTACAAGTACTCCAAATTTTACAACACAGTATGAGAAAAGATAGCCTTAGCCTCAAAACAGTTATAGTAGCTTGTCACAATATCTATATGCATGTGCAGTATTTTTCTTCCTAAGCTGCACAATTTACATTAATCATGCTCACAAAATGTAGTCACTCTAACAAGGAAGACATTGATTCTTATTTTTTTTCCAAATTTCAAGTCATGGTTCATCTGCATTAGTAAGTCCATAATCTTTTCTACCACGTCAATGAACACAAATAATTATTTTGTGTGCCTGAAAAGGAAGGATCTTTTCTCCTTTAGATTGCAGAACAATTCCAGACCCTAACTAACACATTGGCAACTCACATTAGTTCCACTCATTAAGAATAAGCTGGAAAGTAACGACGAAATTGAACATAACAACCCTCAAAGCTTATCACCACCTTATCAAAGCCCATCACCAACTGATAGGAATCGATCACCTCAAAATTTAGCTTAGAATCTCTATTAACTTGTATTGTTATCTTTATCACTTTTTCCAGTTATCTTTATCGTTGTATAGTTATCCTCTCATTTCCAACTATAAATATGTACCATGAAACTGATAAGCCCCCGATCACATTCACCTACACTAGACGCAAGGAGAGAAACAATTGCACCAAGGAGTGACCTAAAATATCAAACGGGCACGAAATCTTCCAGAAGTTCATTTGGGCCCACTTATTCTGTTATAGTGAGTTGTTTCGAATTTGTTAGCAAATTAGTTAGATTAGTTACGGGAAGGGCTATATGTAAGGGTGGGGAAGAATGGTAGAGGAATCGAGAATTTACTAAGTTCTATAGTGGAGAATTTCCAGCTTCTCGAAGTGCTAGTTTATCACGTCTCATTTGTAATTTCCGGCTTACCTTTCATATTGAATAAATCAGAGAAAATCCCCAAATGACTTCTGTTCATCACCTTCTTTGCACAATCCCAATCACCCCTATCAAATTGGTATTAGAGCATCATGACTCTCACCGTTCGAGTTGTAGTGCTGGAACAAGTGGTGAACAATCATCTTGAAATTTAGACAAGAATGGCGACTATGAGGACTGAAATTCATCAGCTACGCTCCGAGTTGATGGAAAAACTTGATTTCGTGCTCCGGTCTTGGGACAGCCAGGAACGGGACAGGAAGGAAAAGGGGATTGCCACCAACCAACTGACCTTTTCACCATGTACTGGGGAGACTCAGGCAAGTTCGGAGAAAATTCAGAGCAGCGGGGGAGCGATCGAAACTGGGTGGCGTTGGGATCCGCGGGTACGTCGACTGGACATGCCTGTATTTGATGGTCAAGACCCAGATGGATGGGTCTTTTGTGTGGAACGCTACTTTGCCATTAACCGGATGACAGAGGAAGAGAAGAAAGAGGCAGCTACGGTTTGCCTGGAGGGAGAAGCTTTGGCCTGGTACCAATGGGAAGATTAACGCAGAATCGCTGAGAATTGGGAGGAGTTGAAACTCCAACTGCTACGACGGTTCCGTTCATCACAGGACGGGACCCTCTGCGCCCAATTTTTGGCCCTCTGACAAACCACTACTGGTCACACCACCGTTCAGGACTACCGTCGGCAATTTGAGCAGCTAGCATCGCCGTTACGAAGCGTCTCAGAGGAGGTCCTGGAGAGTGCTTTCATTAACGGGTTGAAGGTTGAAGTCCAGTTGCTTAATCCGGTGGGCCTGGAGTAGATTATGGAGGTGGCTTTCCAGGTTGAAGAGAGGAATAATGTGATTCGGTACGGCCCAACCAGTCTCGGCCCATTTAAATCCAAAA